CTATGTATCCCGCATGTATCCCATGCACAACGCTATGTATCCCGCTATGTGAAATGTATCAAACCTAATGTATCCCGTGCACAACGCTGTGTATCCCGCAAACATCATTTTTAAGGGATTTTTGGTAAATAGAAAACTAGAAGGGATAGGATGTTATTTAGTACTTATAATATGTGGTTCCTATAATTTATACATAAAAATAAATAAATAAATAAATAATCGAATTGTACATATGTTGCTTGAGGACCATAACCATTAGCCAAAATTATAAATTTTCATAATTTTAGCAGCTTCAAAACTAACTTTAGATTCACGAGTGTTAAATTGACATATCCATAACATGATCGATAACACCCCAATTACTATGTGCAAGCCCAGTCTATCAAAATTGTGACCATGCGGTTGAACATCTGGCCCAAGTCCAAAAACTTTTCTTATCAATTATTGATAATTGACAACTCGCTTATTTCTAAGTTCAGCTCAATTCATTTCAATCTATTAAAATTAAGAAGATATGAAGTCATATTAACTTGTGATAGGTCTTGTCAAAATATTTTCAAAATTATGTTTTATTTGATATATTATAGATAATTATATATATATAAAATTATTAAGTACTAAAAAAATGTAAAAAAAACAAATAAAGAAATTAAAACTTAATAACAATTTGTTTGAGACATACCTAATTAACATTATTTTTGCTTATAAGGAGCAAATTATTTGTTTTAGCAATTTGTTTGAGTCACGTAACCATTGTTTCCTCTTCTTCCCATAATAGTTTCTATTCAATTCATGAATTCAATATAATAGGCAAAAACACCTTAGTGATCTATATATGCAAACATGTGATATGTCTAATGTCAAAACATGATATATAGTCTATGCCAGAAAGTATTTTTTTTCTATACATAATAAGTAGCCAACAGAAATTATGAGTACTACGTACGTTTATAAGCAACCTAATTAATTATCTTAATACATATACAATTTGTAAAAAAAAGTTAAAACAAGTGATTTAAGGTCGATTAAGCTCCTTTTCTTTTGTTTTGTCTAGATCAACAAATTAAGGATAGAGTACAAGAATGTAAAGTGATAAAAGAAAAAGGAAAAGACAAGAGAGGAGAAAGGTCGAAAGTCTTCTTTCATTAAATCCATAAAAAATGAAATTAGTACAGTAATATTTTCAAAGAGAGCTGCCGATGCATGCTCTTCTTCTAAGAGGGCTCTTTTATAAACCAAAACATTACTCTTACGCCCAAGTGTGAAATGACTATACGCTAGCTCTGAAAAGGTTATTTAATAGTACTACGTGCATGGGCTTGAGTCTGATTAATTGAGGGCAGGGTACACATTATAAGGCGATTTGTTTCTGGGGTGAGATCCTACAGGCTACTCGACCTTGTCTGCATCAAACTAACCCCTGGGATTTTTCTAAGCCGAAGTAAAAATGACCAACGCTTCTTTGGTTTAGTTTCAACTGCGTATCATAATTTGATTTGTCTGTTCGTTTTATAGGAACCAAATTAACTAGATGCAAGTGGCTATACTAATATACTGTAAATTTGAAAAATGACTACTACGAAATTATGAATGATAGGCCATAACCTCAACCCAAAAAGTTAGTTCATAAAATAACTCTATTTAACGTGTATTAACCAGTAACTTAAGACTAAATGATAATTACTAACATATAATAGGTTAAATTACTTGCAAAATCATTTTAATTTACACTATCTGTATATATAATTTAAATCCCTGATAAATTAAATTTTTGAAAGTGGATTTGATCATGCATGCTTTCAAATCATTTCTAGTTTGACGTTTAACTATAAATAATGATCTGGGCCTAACAAATTACATCGACGCATGAACCTAAGAGTAAATAATTATCTAGGCAAATGGCAATTAGTGGATGCTGCGTCGACTTGGTGTTAGTTGATTCCAATTAAATATGGTTTAATTTCTCGGGAAAGAATAATCAAATATAACTTCAAATTACATACTTAATTCCAAATTTATTTATTTAACTACTGATACTAAACGACCTCGTGGGATCCGGTGCAAATCTAGCATGTAACATATGAGTTCATGTAGATTCATCAAATTTTACCCAGAAAAAGTCTGAATTCATACTTATAATAATTTATTTATTTATTATTATTAATACTCTTTTCCTTTCTTGGATCTTAGACCATTTTATTTTATTTTTTCTCTTTTATGGAAGAGGGAGAAAAGAGAACGAGAACTTTTTCACAATTTTTGCCACAATAATAAAACCCAAAAAAACATTTAAAAAACCATTGAAATCATCCAAAATTGGTAATTAAAATAAATGGAACTGGTAATTTAGCAATTAGTAAAGTCAGTGAAAATCATGTGATACCTTCGAATTTTAATATTGACAAAAATAATTCGAATTATGCTTAAATTGGCCCAATCGAGTATCTACTACCACCACCTTTATAATAAACAACATAAAAGTAATAAAATGAATGATTTGGCATAATTTAAAAAAAAAAAAGCACAACAAACGGATTCTTTCATTACATTATCAAATTGACTAAAAATCCTCACTCAACATACATGTAATTATAACAAGGGGAAAGAAAAAGAACAAATCTAGGTATACTGGGACATGACCTTTAATTTATTTTAACGTAAAAGTAAATTATATATAGTTTTAATTAATTAATTAATTAACCATAAAGTCCAGTAACACCAACTAATTTAGTAAATCCAAAAGTGATTCCCATAGCCAACCATCCACCAATCAACACTCTTAATGAAGACTTAACGAATGGTGCTTTCCCTAAGTATGCACTTAACCCTCCAAACCCTAAAAGTGCTAAGCTAACAACACCAACCACAACTCCTAATCTCACATGATAATCCTTCACAAAAGCAGCACCTAATAAAGGTACAATTGCACCTATTGCAAATGCAAAAGCAGATGCACCCGCAGCTTGTACAGGACTAGGCAACTTCTTCTTTTTTTCTTCAAATAATTCTATCGCGTTTTCTCTTTTAATTTGTGACATTTCTATGTCATACTGCGAATAAACGGACACAAATTCACCTATAGCCATGCTACATGCTCCTGCTACGAGCCCCGCGATACCGGTGAGGATCATGGACTTTGAATCTTGATGAATTGCTCCTATTCCCATCATTAAAGATGATGTTGAGAGTAATCCATCGTTTGCACCTAATACTGCTGCCCTAAGCCATTGTGCTCTTTTTGAGTAATCTACTATTAAAACCTCTAGGTTTTGTTCTACTTCCATATTGTTCGATTGTTTTTCTATATCATGATCTTTGGATAATTCTTGGATATTTGTTATGGATGCCATTGAAGAAAGTGGAAAATAAAATTATAGTAGAAATTATAAAATGTAAATAAAGATATGGACAAGTGTGGAGGGCACACGCCTATTTATAGCACAAAATAAAGTTGTGGAGACATGAAAAGAGGCTTTTACCGGTGGAGTGTTTATGTAATGAACGAATCTGATGCATTCACATTATAATTGTTACTCAAATACTCCATCGGTTCCTTTGTAGTTGTCACATTTTTAGATTGCACTTGCATTAAGAAATTATGTAAGTTACACTTCTATCCTTATTTAATGTTTTCTTAAGTCAACTTTTCAATAAATGATGAATATTACTCTAAATGTTAGAGTCAACTTTTCACACTATAATTGTTACTCAATTATTAATTACTTCTTTCGGCTTTTGTTACATTTTAGCTGTCATGTTGTGCTTTTCTAGAGTCAATTTTGACTAATTTTTAAAGCTAAATTAAATTACATTCATTCGATATTTTAAAATAAAACTTTAGATATTAAAAAACTATATGGAAAGTATTACTATACATTACAACTTTTTTCATATCAATATGATGAAAAATACATCTTAATATGCTAAACATATTCATAACGTTTGACTCTAAAAAAAATATGACAACTAAAAAGGAACGGAGGGAGTATGTTTTTTTTAACTATTCTACTCCTTTATATCTTAAGATCGATATAGCATATTTCAAATAAATATTTACTCTATTGAGGTGTTTGTAGTCTTCAAAACCAATTACTACGTACTTAAGGATAAAATGGAGGAAAATATGAGGAACTACTTTTGTCATGAACTTCTAAGATGATAAATAATTTGAGACAGTTATTTTTAGAGACGAAGGCCGCTAGTATTATAGTACTCTTCGTATAATTTGTGAATATCTAAATTATAATTTTAAAATATTGTGTTGGTATGTTTAACGCGCTAGTGTTGGATTGAAATTCGAATAAATCATATGGATCGTCGGTTGTCCATGAGTTGGATGTACAGATTATCAGAATATAAGTATAATGCTATACTAATGTATGCATGTGTGTGTAAGGAATGTAACTAAGGAACGTAGCAAAGTTTGATTACAGAATTCTTCTAAATGATCTTCTTACTATCTGTTTTGTACTTTTTTTCAGTGGAGTCACGAATTTCACGAAGAGGGAAAAAAAATGTTATTAGTAGATTTGAGTATGCGTGTACTGGTTCATTCAGAGTGTTTGAAACTCATTCATGACATCTAAAATCATTGGGCTACAACATATTATGTCAAGGATGTCCAAAATATGTTATTTGATTATTTCGTGAATTATTTTACTTGTATATACAATATTTTTTTCGATGAAAGGTCTCCAATTGGACACCCTGACATGCATATGCCTCCACCACTGGCTACACCGTATGATGGTTGAAATTTCTTTATTCTTATTTAATTTGATAAAAAGTATTTTAACCTTTGATGGATCTAATCGAGTTAAATATATAAGAAAGTTTAAACGTATGAGAATTCTTCGTTTATGGTTTTGCGTTCCTTTTTCTGTGCTGTACGTAGTTTATTGTTTAATCACATGAAAATTTCCATTCTGAATGTACTTATCATATACTATGCCAAATGTTGTGAAAAGGGGTAAAACAATATTCTTTGTTTTTTTCTGGTGCTATGTGATCAGCAATAACTGAAAAAGAAATTCGAGATTCCTTACATTTTCCATTTCCAACAATTAATGGAGAGAAATTTAAGTGAAATAAATAAAGGAATAGAATGAGGGGTGATTTAGTTACATTATCTTTTTAATTAATATTTTTTTACGAATGTACAAAAAATAATTATGACACGTAAAATGAATTGCAATAAGGGGGAGTTTAATTTTCAAAATGCTGTTGTCATCTTATATTGACTTGCATGATTATTGATTGGGTAAGTAATTTATAAACATTTTCATTGTAGGTAGACGCAAGTGTTATTCGAAATCAAATCATTATTAACACTTGGTAGTTATCTAATAAGCCATACATAATTTCTATAATATATATATATATATATATATATATATATATATATATATTTGGCTTTTAT